ACAATTATATAAGTAGACATTACTAAGGCATAATTTTGCCACAAGTAAACTTGAAACACGTAAGAAGACCAATGATTATGACTTTCAATATAAATGATATCTCAACATCTGAAAAAACCCCAAATCATAACTGTATTAATAGGGAACATCATGATAGATGGGGAAGAAATACGTTTTGCTTGGATCCCTAACAAGCACCCATGGTAGTAGAGGTCAAGAAATCAAAAGGCATTTTGCACTGAGCAAATGTTCTGTCAAGAACCTCATTGAAGTGCTAAAGATCAAGAATAACAGTTTAAAACTAAGGATGCCAAGAAGCTGCACTGCAATCCCCAAGGTGCACAGTTTGAATCCACCAGATGCTCTGCTGGAGAAGGAGGGACAATCTTCTCCAGTACCAGTCAGATCTGATTTGACGGTACACACACATACACACACACACACACACACAAACACACAAACACACACAAAATAAATAATAAATGGTTTTGGTTTTTTGTTTTTATTTTTTACATTTTTTTCTTATTTTATTATTTTGTGTGTGTCTGCCGTCAAATCGGATCTGACTGGTACAAGAGGAGATTGCCCCTCCTTCTCCAGCAGAGCATCAGGTGGATTCGAACTGCGTACCCCTGGGATTGCAGTGCAGCTTCTTACCACTAGGCCACCAGAACTCCCTAAGAAATGTTTTTGTTTTTTTTTTAAAAACCAACCCAAAAAACCTAAAGTTGCATGAGCCAAGCCGTGATTTTCATTTGCTTTGTGTGCATCTGAAAGTTGGGCAATGAGTAAGAAAGACTGAAGAAGAGTTGATGCCTTTGAATTGTAGTGTTAGTTAAGACTGTTGAATATACCATGTACTACCAAAAGAACAAACAAATCAGTCTTGGAGAAAGTGCAACCAGGGCACTCTTTAGAGGCAAGGATGATGAAACTTCATCTCACATGTTTTTGGTATGTTGTCAGGAGGCACAAGTCTTTGGAAAAAAGGCATTGCTTGGAAAAGGAGAGAATCAGCGAGAGGAAGACCCTCAAAGAGATGGATTAGCACAGTGACTGAAGCAGTGGGCTTGAGCGTGGTGCAGAGAGACTGTAAGGATGCTCAGGATAGGGCTCAGTTTATCTCTGTTCAGAAGATCACTATGAGTGGTAGTCGGCTGGACAGCATCTAACAACAGCGAGTTGCTGAGTAATGCAGTTAAGTCCTCAGCTGATAACTCAAAGTTTGTTAGTTGGAACCCATCTGCCACTCTGGGTAACAAAAGACCCCGTGATCTTTTCTCTTACCATAAGAGTTACAACCTATTGGGCAGTTCAGCTTTGTCATGTAAGGTCTCTGTGAAGTGGAATCAACCTGGCAACAACAAGCAAAAACAGCAAAAGCATCTGGGGTAGCTGGAGCAGTCTGAATAGTTAAGCAACTGACAGCTCCCAAAGATTGGCGATTTAAACCAACCCAGAGCCATCTAAGAAGAGTCGAAGTGATCTGCTTCTAGACCAGAGGGTCATAGTCTTGAAAACCTTCTGGAGAAGTTCCGTTCTGCACTCATGAGTTTGCCATGAGTTGGAATCAAAGGCCACTGCTTAAGGTATATTGGCTTAAAAGGGCAAATTCATAGGCATGTGGGTATATTGCCCTGTAGATGGTCCCGACGGGACTCTTCAAACCCTTTCTCCTCTCCTTGCTGGGCTCTTCCACTCATTGTTGGTTTGGATTTAGCCATGTTTTGCTTTATCGCCTGTGATTAGTGTTTGGATTAAAAGTGCACTGCAAGATAAAAATAGAGAATGGTGCATTCCCAGGAGGACTGTGCACTTAAGAGCATTTAGCAGTTAGGAAGAACACATTTTATGACTTTCCTGGGCAAGAAGCTATCGCAGAATCACCTGATACATCTGGGCTTCCCAGTGGAAGCTTGTAAACAGAGATACCACTTCATAGAAGGTCCAGCTCATTCTCCACTCAAGTCCAGCTACACATGGTGTATTAACACCGAATGACGTTGCATGCTGGCTTCCTGCTGCCATGGTTTCAGTCCTAGGGTGAGGTAGATATTTTCCCTTTTGATGATTCATTATTTATTCTTAAAGGATTCTTGTTATTTCTATGTCCGTAAGTTTTTAACAGGGCGTTCTCTGGGCCGCCAGTTGTGAGAAAAGTATACGGTCAGTTTTCACACATTAAAAGCCCCTCTCAGCAGTGGGCTCTTCTGACATTGCATATTCCACAGGCTGATCTTGTTTTGTTTACGTATTTGTTCATTTGTTTAGGTTGGCCTCCCTTGGTAGAATGCCGTCTTCTTGGCCGTTGGGGTGCTTTTTCACTGTTGTATTCTCAGCTGTTTATACAGTCTCAAGGAATTGGAGTTGCTCAAGAAATTTTGAGTTGATGAATGGATGAGTGAGTGCATGGATTCCAATAGAATTAGAACTCATCAGTAACTCAGTAGTGGATGTCATAGTGAATCTGTTCTAATTGGAAGCACAAGTGGTCAGAGTGGAAGGAGCCATAGTTTCACTTGATATTTTGAGAGGAAAGTTGCAGAGCACTATTAACCCACCCCACTCGGATTCTTACTGACTTTCAACTGTGATCCTTTCCCACTGGTGGACGACCCACAGAGTTCAGAGTTAAGCAACCATAGCAGAAGCTGATTCCTAAAGTCACCTGTCTCATTTGGATAGAAAAGGCCTCGGAGTTGAGAGAGCTGTTATGGTGGTCTGATGTGGAGGCTACTTTGAGATAGTGACAAGAAGCCTGTTCATTGGGCCACAAGGCATTGCTATGGAGTCCTGGCATCACCATTGTGTGTCCTTGTGTGACCCATACAACCTTCCTTCACCTGTGAATGAAAATCTTAAAGCCCGCATCACAGGCTGATGGTAGGATTAAATGAAATCCTGGGTGTGAAAACCCTATATAAAATATAGTATGTGGTGCATATATAAGGATGACAAGCGTAAAGGCTCCTTTAGAAGTGCTTTCATAGGCTTCTCTGGCTATTTGCTGCTGTGTTGAGTCTATGAAAGTACTTCTGTGAGGTGTGTTTGAAGGCACCTAGTATTCCTAGGAGGTCAACATGCCCAGCTGCTGACCAGAAGGGTAGAGAGATGAGTCATAACCAGATACACCTTGGAAGGAAATCTTAGTGAGCTTCTTCCAAAAACCTGTCCATTGAAAACCTGTGGTGTGTGGTTCCATTCTGTCAACACGCAGGGTCTTCAGGGGTCACAGCTGGACTCAGCGGCAACATTTCTTATTATTGCAAGGGTCTTAAGGAATAATACAGACACCTGAGGAATAACCAGAGTAGGATCTTCTTTCTTCTTGCTTAATTTTCAGGCCCCTTGAATAGAGCAATGCAACATTATGTTGGTTAAAAGGTAGGAGGCAGATTGTAATTAAATATAAAATAATTATCAAAATATGTGTTTGGAGCCTATTTGAAAGGGGTTTGGAACTACCTATTATAATCTCAACCCCAGTAAATTTTACTTTCAGTTATGTCTCCTAATTGATATAAGAGGTGGTTCTTTTTTAATGAGAGCCATGGAAATAAATGGGTTCCAGAAAGCTTCATGGAGACTGAACAATGTGAAAATGGCCTTGTCTCGAGGTCCTATTTGGGCCTGTTGAGAAGAGTTTATGGAAATATAGGGGTTCTTTGTGTTTTTAATGGAAAAGGTACCATTTACCCTATAATATTTTAACCACTCATCTCCTCCTCCTGAGGTTACAGTTACAGAGCTTGGGTTGGGTTGCATTGGAGAGAGAGTGAGTGTGTGTGTGTGTGTGTGTGTGTGTGTTTGGGCTGGGATTTTTCAAATTTTCTTCCCTTTTTCCTGATTGTTGCCTTTAGCCTTTTGGTGAACTCCCCTGGCAGCTCTGTGGGTATTTTTTTCAAAAGCCTCCTGCCCTGATTGTATTGAATGCCACTGGCACCTTGGCCCCACCCTGCCTTCTGCACATTCCAATAACAGAACTTTCCTGTAACTCTATTTGGAAAGGACCCCACCCTGGCATTTGTCTTCCTAGTTTCAAGGAAGCACTAGCCTTGCTTGGATATAGTAAATGATGCAGTTTCTCCAAATTAATCATTTGCTGGGTCTTGCATCTGTTATTTTGCCGAATATTAATTTGTGGACAGAAAATTAAAGAGGGGAGAGGCGGGGGGGGGGCAGGGGAGCCAAAATCCTAAGACTGTAGTATGCAGTTTGGTATAACACCACAGGCTGTTTATTATTTTATAATTCGCTCAGCTCAATAATGTACATAGTATATATTTTAATTTTGGAACATGTTTTTATAGAATTTTTTTCAGTATCCCATTTTTTGTCTAACCTATATGAATAAAAATAAACAATTTGTGACATACATATTCACAGGTTTGGGGTTTGTTTTGATGGTTAAAGGATTTGATGTGAAAACATAGCCTGAGATGATTGTAAATTCCACATCCAGCTCTATCTTTTTTACCATCATTCTATTTTCTTTTTCACATCATGTAATTCAAAATGCAGACAATACAAAAAGCATATTTAGTGAAAGATTTTTTTCTTTTCTTCCATTTCCCCAGCCAATCATTTCTATACCTTTCAGGCAACTAGTGTTAAATTCATATTCATTTAAATGATGAGCTAAGATGCATTTTAGCTAAGTTTTATTGTTATTTTGCAGTGAGATAAAGGAATAGGCTCTGAGTTTGAGACCTTGGGGATAAATAATGCTCTGGATATCGAGGGACATTCCTCAGATGACAGTGCACTAGGGTAACAATAAATAGCCGCAAGTAGGATTTCATCTTTATTGTAAAGCAAAGAGCTGAATGGGCATGCCTCTGTGAACCCCGAAGTCTCCCCATATACTCATTAATTGGCACTCTCTGTCTCTGGGTTTTCAGAACAGGCTCCTCTTTTTCTGACTATTGTATATGTACTGAAACCTGGCATTATGAATCTCTTACATTGCAAAATTCAATTTCCCATTGCCATTTTTGCAGATAACAGCCCGCCGTCAGTGGAAACATATTTATGATGAATTAGGCGGTAATCCTGGGAGCACGAGCGCTGCCACTTGTACTCGCCGCCATTATGAAAGGTAAGAGCCTTTCTTGGAAAACCATGGCTTGATTAAAAGTGTGTTCATTGCAAGAAGCTTCTGGACATGGGCAAGGCAAAGGCAATCTAAAGGTCTCTTTAGGAAACAAAACACCCAAGTTCGGTTTTACTTGCGATTTCTCCCCCTTTATTTTAAGGCGTAGAGGCTCTCTTTGATTATAGAGCTAAAATTAGATGGTTTTTAATTTTACTTTATTCCATGGCCACCTGCAAGAAACAGGTACCACCCTGCCCCGGTTCCCACAAGCAAAGGCTATTTAGCACCTTGGTCTCTGCAAGCTCATTTAATACAACAGTTTTCCATTTCTAGAAAACAGATCTGAAATATTTCCAAGAAGTTTCAATATAGCAGTATTAACATTTCTAATAATAATAGAAAAGGGTACAGATGAGTTTGGTTGATTTTTTTTTTTCTGGCCTGTGTTGCTATTTTGCTTCTACAGCTATGCGGTTGACCCAAGAAGTTCTTTATTGCTAAGTTTTGTGTGGCTCAATTTTCACAGTTTTCAGCCTCTTTTGGAAAGATGATGAAAATGCAAACAAAATGTCACAGAAAACTAGCCTACTTGAAAGGTTTCATCTGCAGGAATATTTCTTCTCTACCATGGGACTCTCTGCACCAGACTGAAGGCTCATTAGTGAATTCATGAAGTGTCCTTGCTTCAGGCTGAGAGCTAGTGAGTAAGGATTTGCACTGCCAACCCAAAGGCAGATGGTTCAAAACCACCAGCTGCTCTGCAGGAGAAAGATGGACAGTATCCTCCTGTGTGATTTATAGCCTCTAGAGGGCCAGTTAATTGAATTACTTGAGTCAGGTCCAGCTCAATGACAATGAGTTGTTTGTTGAGTTGGGCTTGAAGTTCATACTTAGTTTAAGTTGTACTTCCTTATCACTGGGCCTCTTCCTCCTAAACTATTGACTTATTGAGCTTTCTAGTTTTAAACACAGAGTTTGTGAGACCCAGGTAGAGAAGGAATAAAGTCAAGACACGGTCCGTTAGCTGAGCAAACAGGCACTTACCTTGCAAGTTTGAAAGGTAAAACACAAGTACTAAATTTGCTAGTTGCTGTTTTCACATATAGTTCACATGCCAGCTGAAATAAGCCCTATAAAACCCTCAGATGGCACCACTTAACAATTCTCTGCCATTTTTCTTCCAAATTTTATTTTGCTCTTAATGTGCTGTGTTTAATTCTAAGCCTCTCTTAATATAGCTATTGAACAAATACTTAGAATATATTGATGGAATAACTCTAGTAAATTGAGTTGGATTCAGTGTCCCATGAAAAATTACCTCAAAGTATTCCCAAGTGAATGCCTTTACATGACGAACATTGACAATGGTAATTTACCCAGTTAAAAATTGAAAACCACTCATCAGACTGTCTGCAAAGCATTATAAGGTCAACAAATAAATAGATGAGGCTTGCGATGAAGGAAAAGTATTGAATCTGTATTAGTATGAGTGAGAGAAAGAATGTGTGTTTGTACGTTTAACTTATTCAAGTAGTTATGTGAATAAAAAAAATCCTGAATCTTAAAAGAAATACTAAAATATATTCTTTATTATGTGCAAAAGCAATGTTTGTTGTTGTTATATGCCGTTGAATCACTTGCGACTCATAGCAATTCTATGTACAACAGCCCTGAACCTTTCTCTATCCTCTGCCAACCTTATTTCTCTGACACGCCTACCCTTCATTACCTCAGTTACTGAATCAATCCATGTCATCAAGAATTTTCCTATCTTACACTGTCCCTCCAGCCTTCCAAACATGATGTCTGCCTCCAAGGACAGGGCCCTTCTAGCAACATGCCCACAGTATGTCAGATGAAGCCTTTGAATCCTTGACTCCATAGAGCAGCCTTATGTTACCCTCTCTAGGATATACCTGTTTGTTCTCCTGCCAGTCTTTTGTATATTCCGTACTCTTCTCCAGCAGCACAGCTCAAAAGCATCCATTCTCTTTTTCTCATCCCTAGTCTTTGTGCAGCTTTCTAACACTTAGGCAAGTAATTACAAAGACTGGCCTGGATCAGGTGCACCTTAGTCTTCAGACTGACATCATTGCTTTTCAGTACTCTGGAGAAAGCAATGCAAAATTAAATATATCTTTGAATAACAAGCTTAAGTTTGAGCTGCAATGTTGGCATTGCAGATTTTTAATCATCAACATTCTTTTGACGATTGTGGATTTTGCTTTATGGGTTACATCTCCTTGAGAGTAACAGGGATTCAAATGTTTTCAATCAATTAAAATGAAAACTTTCTAGTAGAGAAGGAAAGCTTAGACTTTCACAACTAAGGTATTCTAATTCTATGTTCATCCTTGTGAGCCAAGTAGATCTTTCATCAAAGCTTGATTTCATGCTGGATGAAGAGCTGAGGCACTTACTTTTCCAAATCCAGAATTTGTTTGGATTATTATCACTTAGGTAATAGTTGTTTTAACAAAGAGAATGTAACTGTGGAATTAGCTAAGCAGGTATTGTTATGGAGAACTTTAAGCTAACAGAGAAAATAACTGTAGGTTCCCTAAAGCCAAAAGGAATAGCTGGGGGGTAGCACAGGTCAGATATTTGGAGAATGAACTTTACAGAGCTGGGGCTCAGATCTGTGGAAGCCAAAGGAGTCCTCCCTTAGCTTTGATCCATAAGAGCTTAGAGAAGGAGCCCAGTGGATCTGGGGCTCACCTGACGAGGAAGTGCTCCCTTGTTGATGTTACACCTCAGGGGGCGGGGGGAGGAATGCATTCAAACTTCAGGGATTGTTGAAAGAAGGTAGAAGATAGGATGAGTTGTTGTTGCCAAGTTATCACTGGTTGATGTGGACATGAACAACAAGCCTACAGGGAGAAAGTCATCACTTCTGTTTTCTCCCTACCTCCTATTCCTCTCTATCTGCAACAACTAAGAGGAAGACAATAGAGAGAGAAAAAAAAAGGGAAAAAAAAGATGACTAAGTAGCTGAGACCCATCACCAGCATCCTCAGGCAAAGTACAGGATGAATTTCATTTCTGCCCAGGGCTCCCAGCATAGAAAGCTCTTTAGTGTACCATGGCTCTAGCATCACTGCAGAGTCCACGGTCCTGACACACCTGGAGCACAGTGTGTGGCCAGCAAGTTCCTTAACCGTTTCTTAGCTTTTTATCTTTCCAATTAGATTCTGCTCAAACTGTTACGATAAGATGAAAGATGTGTTATGAATAATTAGTAACTAATAAGAGTTACACACTTATGTTTGGAGACAGTTGATTTTGTTAGATCAATTTTAACAATGCCACTCATGGTAGATGAAGAAGAGATTAAGATAGCTAACAGTTACAGCTTGCTCAGCTCCATAATCAACACTTTTGGCACCAGCAAAGATTTCCAGTCAGGAAATCAAAAGACAAATTGCGTAAGGTAAATCTGCTGGGACCTCTCCAGATTGCTGGGAAGTAACGATGTCAGTCCAGAGACTAAGGTGAATCTGGTCCAGACCATGGTCTTTGCAATTACTTGCTATGCAGCAGAGAGCTGGACAGTGACTAAGGATGACAAAAGAATTGATGCCTTCAAGTTGTGGTGCTAGAGAAGAGTCTTAAACATACCATGGACCACCAAGAAAATAAACAGTTTTGTCTTAGAAAGGGTAAAACCTATTTTCTCTATGGAGGCTAAGCTTTTGAAGCTCCATCTCACATACTTTGGGCATGTGACCACAGGAGGACCAATCCTAGGAGAAGGGTATCAAGCTTGGAAGGGTGTAGGGACAGTGTAGGGGAGGAAGACTCCAAATGAGATGGATTGATACAATAACTAGGGCAATGGAGGTAGGTGTGTCAATCAGTGAGACTGGCTCAGGACAGCGCAGACTTCAGAACTGCTGTACATAGAGTCGCTATGAGTCTCAAGTGACTTCACAGCACATAACAATAACAAAGCCACTCTAGCTCATTTGAACCAACCCTTTATGCTATGTGTTGTGGTAGGAGTTCTTGAGTGATGCAAAGGGTTAAGCTGTCAACCACCAGCTGAAAAGTTGGTGGTTCAAATCTACCTAGAGACAGCTCAGAAGACAGGCCTCCAGTTGGCTTCCAGAATGTTACAGCCTATGGAGCAGCTCTACTCTGTGCTCTAGGTATAATTATGAGTCTAAATTAGCTCAGCAACAAGCAATAACAACCTGTGTTGTAATTGGGAGAAAAATCTGAAAAGTACTCCTCTAACTAGGTTTATTGATGATGGTGGATCTCTTTCTTTCTTGCAACACACAAATTGTATTAGCAGATAAACCAAAATGGTTAAATTGTGAAAGGCCCCCAAACGCAGAATGATTGAAGGAGTTAAGATGGATGAGAACTTTGTGATCAGATCACTATCTTGAAATGCCCTTGGAAATTTTTCAAAGGCTGTAAAGCTTCAGCTCTTCCAAATCAGTTTGGAGATATTGGAGTCCGTCCTTTTTGCTGGCTGGCCCTCTGGCTTCTTGTTCTTTTCACCCGACTCGACGGCACATAACAACAACAACAACAGGGAATCTTACTCTTTCTCTTACTCACCACCAGCAAGCCTTCCTAGAAGGTGGAGAAGAAATGAGTGGTCTACTATGCGTTATCCACAGATTTATTTTTCATGCAGTGTGGGTCATATTTCCAGTAAATGTGTTCATTTTCCAACAAGAAAAAAATAGTGGCCAGTTCCTCAGTAATGTTACTTGTGTGTTAGTTTGGCTGTTTTGGTTTATTAATGAATGTAATAATGAAAGTGCAGGTCGTTGCAAATAATCAATGGTTGTTTTTATTTAAGGCATAGCAGAAATGGTACAATGGCTATAAATGCATCATTGTCGCTGAAGGCCTGACTCGTCCAAACTTGCCTCTGATTGGTTTAAATCAAATAGGTCCAAGCACTTCATAAAAATGTCTTTGTCAGCTTGGTTTTGCTTCCAAACCTATTCATCTTTGTCAGTTTTTAATATTAGTACCAGGCTCCT